CAAGGCCAATTACAGACACAGCACAGTGCAGAAGAATGAATTACATTCTAGACAAACTTATTAAAAGTCACATACAAATTACAAGAAATAATAATGAATAAAAGTAAAAGTAAACAAACAAATAGCTGATATGGAATGAAACATAAATATTTAATAAATAATAATAATAATATGTGACGAATTTGCTGTTTATGCAACAGTATAGTACGTAAGCCATAGGTATTTTAGTTACTAAAGGGTTGGGACGAAGGTGTATATTACTCAGAATTACTGGGTCTTTGGCCTTTGTCTATATTCCGGTATTCGAGTTTCCAAAATACCAGACGACAGACAAAATACAAAAACCCAGTTATTCTGAGTATGCCAGGCCGCACACGAACCACTAAATCACCGGCCAACTTTCGGAGAGGGTCCACTTGACGTCCACATGACTAGTTTCAGGTACATTACATGAAGATAGAAAATAACTGTATACGGCATCCAGAAATTACATATCTTTTCCGATTTCAATTTTTATTTCTGCTTTATCGTTTATTGCGGACCCTTCATGCTCGATGTTACATACAATACGGTAGCCCCCTACTTATTTAAAATTATCGTATTCTAATATAAGCCTTTCCAGATTTATACTCCTTTAACATCTACAGTCCATTCGCGGAGACGAGACAGTTAGCGTAAACAAAGCAAGCCCCGCGTCGCCACAGCTGACAGCAAGGGGCGGACAAAGCGCGCAGTTACTTCAGTGTACTCACTGTACTCACGTTAACCTGCATTCAGATTGAAGAGTAAACTTTGGACGCCCCTGTAACGGTACACCCATCACGTGATCGCTGCATGATTTCATTCAAAGAGCGAAGAAGATACCGCGTGCATTTGTTTACGAGGACTCTCTCGTCTCCGCGAATGGACTATAAACCTTCATTGCCGTTAACTGTTATTTGTTTCTGTTGCATAGGTGTCCTTGCCTCTTCTGGCACTGGTAGTCGCCGCTGTAATATCTGCTGGTATACCATATGGACCTGTTAGCAATCCGGACAATACTAAACACCTCCGTGAATCCAAATGTCTCAACAAAACATATGAATCGGTCTGGAATTCTGTTAAACAGTTCTTAGAGACCGGCGACATGACAAGCGGTGAACTGGCTGTGAAGTGGACAGATAACTACGCACACTGTTTTCAAGCGATGGCCGCAGGAGGTACATTTTCTCAGTATATTTCGTTTCAGTCTGAGCTACGAAACCGAGAACTAGGCTGTACAGAAGTTGGATTTAAAATAATCAAAGAGATTTACGAACTGGCAAAAATGAATATTCATATTAGGGAGTATGGTAAGAAAGAACAGAATCTGACAGAACAAGACACGGGAGAGGACGTGTATGAATGTATAAACGAACTAACATCCTTGCTAAAGGATTCTATCACTGAACATAAGTTACTCTTGCAAAAAGTCACGTATGTGCATTCTCTAATGCAGTCTTGCATGATTAGTTCTTTTAATGGTTCTTGGATCTGTATGTTGCTTTCTGAAGAAGAATGGAAGAAGCAAATCAGCAACAAGACAGACAAGTTGAAACATTACGAACACAAATGTGAAGAATTGAAAAATGAAAGGTTTTTCGGCTACTATGTGAACCCGGTGATTTACAGTGTGATATTTCTTGTTGGTTTGGTGGGCAATGGAAGTGTATTATTAATATTTGCAGTAGAAAAGGATGTGCGAACGAAACCCAATGTCATGATACTTAATCTTGTTGTTGGCGACACACTCAATTTGCTGATAAATATTCCTCTGCATTACGTGATACATTATTCTTATATACTGAGTCCACTGACTGGCTTTTCGTGCCACCTGCTCGCCATGACTCGTTTCTTGTTTTTCGCGGTTAGCGCCCTGTCTGTGGTATCACTGAGTGTCCAGCGTTACTGCATAGTTGTACACACACCGTGGCGACATCACACGTCCAGAATTCTTGTGTTGTATATCCTGAGTGTGTGGGTGCTAGCCATCTTCGTCTCCTTACCAGAAACTTTGATCATCACTGAACAGAAAGGAATGTGTCTCGTGTATAACGCGAGGAACGGGAATATCGTCTTACTGTTAAGGTTTCTATTTTACTGCGTGGCGTGCCCATGTATTATGGTTATACTCAGTGTCATCACCGCGAGGCGGCTGTGCAGTAGCACCCGAGACGTTCCGAATCAGTTATGCAACAGTAGATTGGAGCGCTCTCGCAAAAGGAGTGCAAAAGTTCTAAGAATCCTGGCTCTTGTTTTCGTTATTACTTACATACCGACTTTCACGTGGAACTTCGTGAGCTGTTGGTTTCAAGATGCACTGACAGCGCTCCCTAACATTGTGACTGCTTCTATCGATAAAGTGTCCTACCATCTCTTATTCCTGAACGTGTGCTGCAACCCGGTAGCGCTGTACACTGCTAGCAGTGCGTTCAGGAAACCACTAGATAGGTACATTCTTCGCTGTTGTAATAAAGTGCACAGAAAACCATAGAGTTCCAGTCAGTGCGTTTGTATTGATTGATCAGTAACTGTCAGATGACAGGTCCACAGTCTCTTCCAAAACAGTTCCTCCACTTAATGTGATCTTCTGTTTTTGGAAAGAGACTATCCAGGAAAAGTGATAATGTGGTAGTTTTTCCATTTGCTTTCCACATCGCAGTACAACAGCCGTTCAAACCACTCTGGTCACGCCTGTTGCTATACGAACTTGAACCATCTCGAGCATCATTTGTTCTGTGCTTCAAGTCGCTGCTGATGACGCTGCTTCCGGCATCAGTTTTTGGTTTTTGGTGTCTCTCTTCGTCTGATGCCTACCCTTTGACCTGTCCAGCAAGGGAGGCCCTGCCAGTAGCTACGCTACCGCTGGTATAGCGTTTGTATGGTAGGAATTAATTAGGAAGAACGGCGGAGGTTTCAAAAGCATTTAATTCCTATCCAGTATTAAGAGTTAGAAATATCTGTGATTAGAAAGTTCATGTACCAGAGAGTTTCCTGGAACGATCAAAGAGTCCTTTAGGTCTCTGTGGATACATGACGTGGAACGGTCCGTAAAGATACAAATTTAAGATAATTATATTGTGAACGTGTTTTCAGCATTACGCGCAGTTTAGGACTAAGTCTTTATGAATTATGTGCTAAAATATTGACACTACCTAGTCTGATTGGTAAGCGGCCTCCGTAGTCTAGGGGTAACGTTCCCAACTCATGACTCCCACAGGGCTCAAACCCGGCAGAGGTCGTGGAATTTTTAAGGGCGGAAAATTTCAGGGAATAAGTCCTCCGGGAAGGTCCCGTGTCGTAGATTTACGGCACGTAAAAGAACCTCATGTGTCTAGGAGACATCTGAGCAAAATTACGCAACAATTTCCCGCCCAAGTAGTTTCCAATGCCTCTGGTAGATGGGGGAAATATCAGGTACCGACGGCCGACCTCGTTGGCTGAACGGGGCTAACAGCACGCATCAGTACTGGTAGAGTATGGCGACAGTAGAAATGAAAAGGGGACGCACAATGGACCAATAACTGGTCTAAGTGCATGGGGAAACCCACCCCCTCTAATAATAATAATAGTCTGATTGGTAGGTGCCAACATTTCGGCAACAAATTTGTCTCCACTTTCATTCACCTTCATATCCGAACATGGAAGCAGTATGTCCCTCCGAAACGTTAATACCTACTTACCAGACTTTTTTTCCTTGGCACTACAGCCCCAGTGGGCCTAGGCCTACCTCCATGAACTTCTCCGTTCACTTCGGTTTTTCTAGATCTTACACATTCGGTAGGACTCCTTGGGCGGGTGATCAGCTCGTCACAAGGCCCTCTACCTGTACACAAACACAGAAAAACGTACACACACAAACTAAACATCCATACCCTTTGTGGGATTCGAACCCACGATCCCGGTTTTCAAGCGAGCGAAGACAGTACATGCCCTAGTGACCTGCACTTACAAGACTACACTGTCATAATCCATAAAACAGCAATACTGAAACAGGAGGTGACTGTAATGAAGGTAGAAAAGAAGAAGAAGGAAAGAAATGAAGGCAATAAAGGAAAAGGATTAAAGAGAAGCAAGAAGGAACACTTCTCCAGATACAAGTAAAATACATGTGAACCCTTGCAGGATTAAACGTGCTAAGTTGTTGACGATGTATTTGTGTGTGTTGATAAGCGTCGAAATATTAACGATATCATCTTCATATTGGATTTTGTGTCTTCGGCCTTCAGACATGCCACATTCTCCTACTGACAAACTGATTTCTCCACCATAGATTTTGCTTGTAAAAATGTAAAATTATCTTGGGATTAATAAATTAAACACGACACCTTGAAAAATTATGGATGAGTCTACGTATAGCTCCACCATTCTTAATCTCCGGACTCAATGGAGCTTAATGGTCAGCTCCCCCCCCCTGCCACTCTACTCCCTATACTCAAAATACAGCAGACTTGCTGATTCCAGAGCCGGTCTGGACGATATGGAGGAAGGGAAGAATACTTCCCCTTCCTCCCACCCCTAGCCTAGCCGCCATAACAACTGAAATTCGCGGCTTCTAGATTTTGATTGCATTCTAATCGCACCCCTTTCTTCACAGATACTGAATTAGAAGTTTCTGCAGTCCATATCCGTAAACCTTTCCCTTTAAAACTCCTTTCCTTTTACAAAATACTGCTCCTGCTGCTCCCAATATATTTTCCAAAATAATTGCCTTTGAAAGATTTAAACTCAATGGCAGTGAGTGAACCTTGTGAATGCCATGTTCTCAAGCCTCCTACAAACTACAGTCGAAGATTCGAAATGAGCTCTTGGCATGGGAATTTCACTTTTTTTTTTCTGTTGTTCTCTCAAAGCAGAGGCTTGTAATTGAATAACCTCCTAGCTAAGAAATCCTGCCTCTTGTGACCACAGGATTTATGAAACGCCTCCGATCACTAGGGCTGCAGGTTCAACAAGAATATATTCTTGAACGTGTTATATGTGAAGGATAGTTTCAGCATCTACAGCAGTATTTTGCATTGACTTCACAGAGTGGAGTCTTACAGATGTTGTTAAGATTGAGTTTGTCTTGCAAGTTTAGCTGTAGTATGGAAACCTTTAATTATAATTCTTCTAGAGTAGTTTCAGTAATTAACTACGCTTTCGTTACGTCACAATATGATAGCATATTTTAATGAATCCAATTATGAAACAGTCGCGGTAGCGTAGTTGGTTGAGGCACTACGCTACAACCCGAAAGGTCGCGGGTTCAAGTCCCGATGAGGTCATTGGATTTTTTTTTCAATTGACCTAATCCTTCCAGCCGCACTATGGCCCTGGGGTCGACTCAGCCTCTAACAAAAACGAGTACCAGGAATTAATTAAATAATTTTCCCTGGGGAGTAAAGCGCGGCCGTCGCGTAAGGCTGACTTCACCGCCATCTTTGAGCCATCTCAACTGCTCCTAGCTTCTGAATTCCGTCTCTTATAAGCACTCTGCACAGACTCGACTGAAAACAATCAGTAATGTTGATGATGTCACCAAGTTGCACAGCACGGTCCCATATGCAGAAATGTGTTTACCGAGCTATTGCTTAGAAACGGATTGCATAACACTATTCTGTTGTTGCATACGCGTATTTCGGGGCGTTTAACGAGCATTTGCCTTGCAATGCGTTGATCAGATCAATTACAATATGTATATGAATATGTATGTTTAATTATTTATTACAATCGATCAGGTTAATGTGGCGGTAACGCCGTAGGCTTGTGCTCGGGAGATACTCAGGTAGAATCCTTGCAGAGCTATCAACTATTCAGATTAAGATATTTTCTTAGTAGTCCTCTATTTCTTCGCGGTTTTCCTCCTTATTTGGAACCAAAAGATCTATTACGTGTCTACAAGGGCTCGCTAGTGGTCTCCGTCATAAGCTAAATGATTTGGGCCCATTACCTCATATGCTACATCTTCAATGTCTGCTTCAAGCGCTCTTACCTCTTTCTAGGGCTCAGGCTTATTTACAAAGGTTTTGGGCCCACGAATATTGCGCTTTTTTGTTTGCAAGTAGGAAACGGCACAGTTTTTGAAGCCTTACGTATACATATATCCATAAAAGGCTACTGCTAATGACAGAGATCCTCAGTCATATGTGACTTCTTGGTTGGTCTGAAAATATCTTTGAGAAATGCACTCTCAAGCAATCCTAGAAGGATAACATTTTGAATAATTGCCAAATATTTAATATATTGCGCCTTTGGGGTTGGAAAATGAACAAATAAATAAACTGTATTTATATTGTTACATATTAATGTGTCTAAATATAGATGGGGTATGAGTTGGTGAATAGCCGGTCACGGTAGCCGAGCGGTCTAAGGCATGCACTGTCTTCGCTCGCTCGGAAGCCGGGATCGTGGGTTCGGATCTGTTTCCTGTGAGGTACGAACTGAATTCTTATATATTATTCTTATACACTGCCGGTCACGGTAGCCGAGCGGTCTAAGGCATGTACTGTCTTCGCTCGTTCGGAAGCCGGGATCGTGGCTTCGAATCCCACTCAGGGCATGGATGTTTGTGTGCGTTTTTCTTTGTTTGTGTACAGGTAGAGGCCTTGCAACGAGCTGATCACTCGCCCAAGGAGTCCTACCGTATGTGTAGGATCTAGTAAACCGAAGTGAAACGGAGAGTTTCATGGAGGCAAGCCTAGGCCCAAATGAGGGCTGTAGCGCCAAAGGAAAAAAAATGAGTTGGTGAATGGATTTATTGACCACTTATATACACCACTCGGAAATAAAAGTAATTACAGCACCACTGCTAAACTCCACAATTCACAGATCACCACAACACCTGCCAAGTTTTTTTCCAGCCTGCTGTGACTTCAAAGGCCTTTCCCTAGCAACGGCTTCTGACAGCGGAGATTATTCAGCTTCCCGTGCTCATGTCGTTACTGTCCGACGAATATCCCGCAACTGAACTCTTCTGAACTGTCAACTCAACTACAGCGCCATCTCTTCTCAGCCTTCCTTGCAGAGCTCGACTCAACTGCGAAACCTCAACTGAACTCTCTCACTCACCAACGAAATACTTCTCACTTTACTTCACTCAGTTGAACTGCCAACGCCCAACTAACAACTGTTTTCAGATTGCTTTTACTAGTCGTTTTCTGGTAGCGAATCTTAACAATAGAGATTCTTCATCTTTCATAGTCACGCCATTGCCTACTATTTGACACTCCACACCTGAACTCACTCAGCAAAGTCAAAGTGAAAGTCACATTGCGACTGACGGTCAGTCAAACAGTAGGTCTTAGTGTCGAGCCCCATCTGGGGTTCATGACTAAATATTTATTACTGTTTGACAGTTACGTTCTTGCTTTTGTGGGACGCCTTCTCTGCAGAGAGGACGTATCTTTTGTATATGCTGCTGGCCCTTGCGAATGCAGTCTTTTTCGGGTCCGAGTCCCTTGGAACTCGCAACCATATTTTACTGTCTCAGATTTGAGACTTTCATTTTTGTCGCCTCCTACGACTCGCAGTCACGGTGGAGGTATTCGAGCCCGCTTCAACACGGGTTGAACTCAACTCACAAAGACGGCCTGGGG